TTGTCCGACAACAGCGTAGTCGGGCATCCCCACTTGGTCATGTACTGGTTGACGAAGATGTTGGCCGTTCCCTTGGCCGTAAATTCAGCGGCTGTGACAGCGAACATGTCGGCTCTCCGGCTGGAGCGGTCGGTGAACAGCAAGATGTAAGAGTTGCCCTTGGCAGTCAATGGCAGAGGCCCAAAGAAGTCGACGCCGACGACAGTTCCAGGCCCTTGCGGCAGCGGCATAGCGATGATGGGCCACCGAGCAGTTTGGCGTGAAGTCTTGCGGGCTTGACACACCAGACACGATCGGAGCCACCAGCGCACGGAGCGATCCACACCAATCCACCAGTAAAAACGTTCGAGCAGCCGCTGTGTACGGTGAACACCCAAATGGAAGAACGCGTGGGTATGGCAAGCACGCAAAACCCACGGACGCATGAGCATCGGCACGTATACACGAGGGACTCCAGTATTCGGCAAGCGAGTGGTCCTACCCCCAGAGCGTCCAACCGGCGACGGCGCTGATTTGTGCACGAGAAGAGTGACGTTGTCGTCGGTCGTGTGCAACCTGGTCTTCGCCGCCAGCGCCAACACGTCGTCTAATCGGGGAGAATGAAACGGGGCATCGAGGGTCAGCAAATCAGGGGGAGGTGGGGAGAGAGAGCCACGGGAAAGAAAACGCATGGCCGCCACACATTCGCTTTCTTGTTGCTGTTCCCGAGCCCAATCCACAGCTCTAAAACTCTGGACGCAGTCCCGCAGATGAGCAGTGTCTAAGGCGATTGATTCCAAAAGAGAATCAGGCGATCCGGCGGAAGGAGCGGCAGAAGATGATGTGCCGGCTGCAGAAGCAGCCGCAACCTCCACGCGCGACGACGGCGCCGCGGGAGACGAAAACGTGGGTGACACCTGTGAAGAAGGCGAAACCGGCGAAACAGAGCACGCTGAAGACGGTGATGATGACGAAGGTGCCGGTGGCGCGGAAACAGTCGACGAAGATGCCGACGCGAGCGTCGCGGATGGACGCGGCGAATGCGCGGTGACCCGGGTGGTCTTGGTTTTTGTACGAAACCTGTTAGAGCGACGGACAGGCGACGGCGTTCGAGGAACGATGGTAGCCCGCGGTTGACGTCCGAAGTAAGCTGGGTCGGTGACGGTACCACCGGAAGCAGTGGTAGTCTTGGCCCGAGTCCGTGAGGAGATGAGTGGTCCACGCTCCGGAAGCGAGGACAAGACGTGCACATATTTGTTCGCTGAGGATGCAACAGAGGGCACCAAACGAGATGCGACAGAGGGCAGCCGCGGGGCAGAGCCGGCAAGTCCGGAAACTGCGAAGACTCCCGAAGGTCGCTGATGATCCGTGCAAGTAGACGACGAAGGTGGTGAGACGTCCATCATCCGTGGGGCGTGTCGACGGAAGTCTCCAAAGTCGGAAGGCTGTAGTGGTGGGGGCGAGAAGACTCCGGCAGAGCAAGGAGGGGTGAGCCCACCCAAACCGACGTCCGGCGTGGAGGACGAGTGGTAGTGAAGCCCGCAAGCTCGAATGAGAAACACACCCGCGTGGTCAACACCATCAATGCAATCCTGGCCAGTCTTGTCCGTGTCTTGTGCCGGCAAAGGCATCCGCGAAAGAAAATCGGCGTTACCATTCGCTGAACCTTTCCGATACTTCAGCGTATACGTGAAGTTGGACAGAAACTCGAGCCATCGTTGAACCCGTGCGTTGTGTTCCCCCACCTTGCCGATGCTCTCTAAGGCTTTGTGGTCCGAGTAGATGACGAACTTGGTCGACCACAGATAGCCGCGAAGGCGTTTGATTGCCCAAACAATCCCACCAGCCTCCAGATCCAAAACGGTCCAGTTGCGCTCCGCAGGGAGGGTAGCACGGCTGATGTATACGATGGGGCGCACGGAGCCATCCAGCTGTTCTTGTTCTAAAGAGGCGCCGAAGCCATCGATACACGCGTCAGAGCATAACCGGAGAGGACGGCTGTTGTCTTCGACCGCCGCCCAATCAGGAAAAACTAGAATCGGAGGGCGCGTGAGTTCGCTCAACAACGTCTTGACAACTTTGATCATGCTCGGGGTGTACTTGAAGAGGACACCTTGTTTGAGAAGGGCGTTGAGGGGCCGTACCTTGGTGGCGAGGTTCTTGAAAAACTTCCTGTAGTAGCTGAGTCCACCGAGAAGGCTCCGAAGCTGTTTGACATTCGTCGGCGGTGGCATGTGCGTGAGCGCTCGAACCTTGACGCCGTCCGGGCTAACGCCAGCCGGGGAGATGGTGTGTCCGAGGAAGTTGGCGTGAGTGGCACCAACACGAGCTTTCCCAGGAGTCAGCTTGAGGTTGTACTGGCGCAATCGTTTGAAGAACTCGATCATGTTGAGCACGTGTCCCAGAGGCTCCTCATCGAAACAGATGACATCGTCCAGATACGCCAACACTCGGTCCAAGCCATGTACAACGCGGTTGATGACTTTGACAAACCAGGACGGGCTGGCGTTGGCGCCCTGCGGCATACGAAGCCATTCGAACAGCTGTGTGGGAGTACAAAAGGCGGTGAGAGGGACGGTTTCGTCATCACAAACGATCTGGTGAAAAGCCGAGTTGAGGTCGAAGATGGAGAACACTTTCCCGGTGTACAGCGAATCCAAGATACCGTCCACACGAGGGAGAGGTTGTCCGTCCAGGTCCACCAGAGCATTAAGACGCTTGTAGTTGACGGTAATACGGACCGATCCGTCCTTTTTGGGGATGACGACCAAAGGAGAGGCCCATGGAGAGGTAGAATGCTGAATTAGCCCTGCCGCCAAGTATTGGTCCAAAACTGCGTCCACTTTCTTCTGCATGAGGGGATTGATGCGATACGGGCGAGACGCAACTGGCTTTGTCCCAGCAGGGACAGAAAGGGTGAACGGCATGATGTTGCAAGAACCAAAATCGGTTTTCGATGTTGAGAACACGTCAGAATACTCGAACAGAGCGTCCGCCAAGCGATCTATAGCTTCCGGTGTCCATCCCGGATTGTGCAAATCGAAGGCGATGTCGTGCATGTGTGCCGGCAGCCTAGCCCACAAACGCGAGAAGCTGGAGCGCTGAGCCTCGGAGAAGCGGTCCATCAGTTCTTGGGGAGGCGGCTTCGGAGGAGGCGGGGCAGAGGCTGGATCCGGAGGGCTTTGGGCCTCGGACGCAGGATCAACGATGTTGACCCTAGGTGGTGATGTGGGGGCCGGAGAATCGGGTGCAGGCGAAGGCGATGATGCCGCCTTTAGAGCTTCCACCGGGACGCGCAACAGCGGCGCTGCAGACACTCCAATAACGTCTCCCGGCTCCAATTCAGCACAACCTGCAAGGGGAATTTTTTGGAGTCCATGGGAAACGAAAGCATCGGGGGACGAAAGCGTTCCTACCTCTGGTCGAAACGATACGAGGTACTCGCCAATCAACGCCGGCAGGCCAGAAGAGCGGACGAGGTTCACCTCAACAAGTGCAGGCTCCGGCCCCAAGGAAATTCCCGAAGTCCCTTCATATTTGAGGTGAAAAGAGGACGCAGGGGCGTCGTCGTGTGTTGCGTAGACGCAGGCGCCAGCTGTAAAACGCGGAGAAAGAGTGAGTTCGCCCATAACACGGCCATCCGGTCCAGGGCGAGGGAGGGTGGTGAAGGTGCGAGAGTTGAACCGCATCCAGCTATCCCGACCCAGGAGTACGGCGTGCCCCATGGCGGCATCTGGAACAACGCAGGCCCAAACCGCCAGAGAAGCCGTAGCACGATCCCCGTGAAGGAAGTTGACTGTTAACCGAACCGATTTGGTGGTCACGAGGGCGGGTCCATCACCAAACCCACCCCAACGACGAGAGGGCGAAACACGGACACTCCCCGAAGTCAAAGCTCCTGCATCAATCATAGCGGTAACGACAGAGTCAGACACGAAGGACGCGGGGGATCCAGAGTCCAGCAGCGCCACTCGCGGCAGTTGAGAAGTGGCTGTAGGCCCTCCATGCAACAGGACCCGGGTGGTGTACGAAGCCGAATCCAGCAGAAGCGTGCCGCCCACCAAATCCGGTCCGTGTTCCAGAAGAGGAGGGTGGTCTTGGCAAACAGAGGTAGCGGCCACCAAGTGAACGCCCGGAGCATGGTCCCCCGGAGCGTCCAAACGAAGGCCAGCAGGATCTTCACCCCGGCCCTCTGAAGGTGGTGCCGCACCAGGAGAACCCACCTCGTGGATGCGTTGTTGACCAGGGGACAACGGCTGCGAAAAGGAGGGCTCGGGGAAAGGAGAGGCAGGGAAATCTTCGCCAGACAATGGCCGATCACGCAACAAGCGTCGAACTTCCATCAACACTTTTCCCAACAAGTTGCGACCACTATTCGGCCAATTAGAAGAATCACTAGCCTCTGGAGATGTTGCAGCCATGCCGATACCCCAAACAGGATCGAAGGGGCTAGCTTCTGCAAGGAAACGGGTACCCGTCGCCATCAAATGTTGTTTCATGGCTGGGTTTTGAGCAAATTTAGCATATGACCCTGTAAGCACGATCTCTTCACGACGACGCTCCCATTCAGCATAGTCGAAAGGACGCACTTTACGACCCAAGTACTTGTATGTCTTAGGATCAGTTGCCGTCATAATTTTGTCATACGATGCCATATCTCCAAACAGCTTCGCTTTTTCAGACATCATAAATTGCTCACCACATGAATAACGTACCCCCAGTACGTCAAAAGCCGAGGGAGTCCATTGCGAGAAAACGGATGGAGGTTTCCAGAAAAGGAGAACGTCGTCCGAAGCATACTCGCACTTGTCGTCAAACGGAGGGGCCGGTGGAGGGCGCAAGGGCAAACAGCGAGCACCAGGCACGGGCGGGGGGGTTGGGCCAGGCGGACGAGTCTTCATCTCCGACAATGAAGATCCAGAAAGCGAGGCAGGAGCGGGCGAAGTCGCACCGCTCGGTGTTCCGGAGGGCGGCCTAGGGGCGGCAGCTCCGTCTGGGTCAATGTTAGCAGAGGCCATTCGGCTATTAGAGACCTGTTCGTTAGGAGAAGTCGTACCTGCAACAAACGGATTTGATTTAATTGGGGCAGGGCGCTCTTGACTACTCCCCCTTGACAAGGGAGCCGAACCTTCCACAGGATGGTGGGCACTACCACCTGATCTTGATGGCAGTGGTGCAGTCAGCACTTGGTGGGCAGCAGAGGAAGAATTTTTATCATCAGGTGCTGTCTCACGGGGTCGGCGGACGGTCGAAGACAACGAAAGCCGAGAGGGGGAAGGAGAGTCGACGGATGTTCCGACGAGTGTAGAAGAAGGCTCGCGTACTGCTTGAGAAGAATCCCGGTTGACAACACCAGGAAGATCTTGACGAACAGTAGAGGAAGAGGTTCTGGTTCCTTCCGTTACCCGAGACGACGAGGTGAGCAGGGGTGAACCGCTCGACGTCTTACCTCCCGGGCGCCCACACCACAAAGGTGCTGCCGGATTGGGGTTGTCATGTCCAACACCAACAGACGATGAGGGGGGCGAAGAGGAGGCGGGCCGAGAAAATAAACTAGTACGGGAAGAGGTGGGAGTATGCAAAGAAGTAGGTTGTACACGAACATCTTGGGAGACTCCAAAAGGGTGCACGGTGGATGCTGTTGACGGTAGTACCTGCTGAACTCCGTCACCGGCCTGTCACTTTTTGCCCCTCCAGCCTTTCTTTGCTGAAGTAGCGGAATCCGACGAATATTGTGTGTGTGAGGACTTGTTCGTGTCCGACTTGTCAGATGGGCGGCGGGCGCGTCCCGCGGAATTGTTACGTTGGGTGTTCCGTCCTGAGGCGCGTCTGTATGTGGTCATGCGTTTTTGCCACCTACTCCAGAGCGTGGGATCTTTTTCCATGTGAAGCTTGATGTCATTATTGAGCAGACCGGTGGCGTTAACGAAACCGCGAGTACAAAACTTGAAAGGGTGATCTTCGCCCAAACAGTTGAGGCACTTGCCCTTGTACAGCTGCAGCGCGTTGCGGCGGTCTTCCGCCGAAACCAGGGGTGTGAACAACGGCGGATCATTCTTGGCCAATTCACCAGCGACAAGATAAACCTCTCGAAAGTGTCCTTGTAGCGGCCAATCGCTGTAGTGCAACAGAAAAGGGTCTCGATCATCGTTAGGCAAAGGGTCCACACTCATCACGGCGGCCGAAGAGCCCTTGCTCCACGCAGGAGTTCCAGTCGAACGCAAAGTTGAAGAAGCTACAGCCCGCGACACAGCAGACGAACTCCGAGCGTTCGTGGAAGACACCGAAAAGAACTCATCTCCGTTCACAGCCGGCGTGTGCGCCAACGCACGCTTTTCCAACACCTCCCACATATCCTCCAGACACGAAGGCGAACGCCCAAAAGGGGCTTCCATGGACAGCTGCTCATCCTTGTACACCTGTCCTGACACTACCGGGAACTGCTTCAACATGGAGTCTCGAACGGCTATCTGCACTTGCGCATCCGAAGGCTTGAATGCGTGATGAGAAACCATGACAGTCATGGTCAAAGCCTTAAAGCGACGAATGTACTCTCCGTAGGTCTCGCCGTTGGACACGCCAAAACTACGAAGACGATCAATCCCCGAGCTCTTGTCTTGAGTGTCCCAGGCAGCCGCCAGCTTCTGGATGAAGAAGGCATACGTCGAAGGCCCAGCCGGTTTCTTGCGCAGATGATTGTCTACCTGCTGAAAGGTGGCATCGAGCAATTCCATGGTGGCACGGTTGGTGGTTTGGCCTTCAAGAACCGCAGAGCGAACACGTTTGCGCAACAAAGGAAGCCATCCGCGGACCCAGATGGGGGAGGTGAAAGTCTGCTGTTTCTTGACATCGCTTTTGTCGAGAATTTCGATGACCACCGCCTGGCAGCTAGACGCGAAGCGAGCAAATTCATCAGGGTCGGGGCCAAGGGGCAAGCGAGTAATACCGTCAAGGGAATCCGGCTTGAGCTTGTCCATCTTGGCTTGAATACGAATTATGTCAGCCTCCGCTGCAGAGGCGTCCGCAGCATCCAAAGCGTCTTGTCTCGCTCGTGCTCCCGTGGAAGAGAGAGGCAAACCAGCGTCGTCCCGGGCCTGCAACGATGCGCCTGGCCCCGGCCTCGAGACAACGGTGTCAGCTGTAAGGACGGGTTGAGACGTAAGAGACACACGCTGAAGGGGGGGGGGGGGCTCCTGCAAAGGTTGCGAGAGGGAGGCCGCGGCGACTGGAACCGCCATCTTCTCCTCCGAACGCGGTGCCTCCTGCGCCTTGATGGATGCGAGTCCTGAAGGTGTCCCTGTGTCTACTGCAGCGTCATAAAAAATCGAA